CAGGAGGTCAAGCAGTTCGAGACGGTCAAGATGACGAGCTCGGTCTTGTGCCGCGGCTGAAGTCCAAGCCAGCAGATCGGAAGGAAAAAGAACTGTGGATGTTGCCCTCGCGTGAGCACATGAACCCACTTATTTTTTTTTGAGGAGGATATGTGTATATCTGTATATCATTGTATATCAATACAAGTGTTCCTTTGCAAGCAGCTGACGCAACGTCCATCAAGTTTTTCGTTTGCCATGCCCAGAACGCCCCCACGTTCGCTAATCGACAACAAAAACCACCTGCGCCATCTTGGGGGGGATGGACATCCCGCTGATCCCAGCCGAGGAGCGAAGGCAACGCCGATGTGAGGCAAAAGCGCTCAACAAGTCGACGCTCCCGTCCCTGGCGCCCATTCTTCGGGCATCCTTAGATTTTCTTGCCCTTTTTTGTTGGTTGGGCCAGATGGGGGAACTGCAGCATTTTCTCCAGCAAGCACAGCATGAAATTATACCCAGATCGTTTGGTTCTTGCCTTCTCTCGTGTGCCTGAAAATCCGTCGGCTTGGAGTATTGATTTTGGAGCATGGCACGGCTCCGCAGGCCAGAGCCAGCTTCAGGGGCGTCCGGGGCGCCGTCTTCCATTCGCCAGCACCGCGAGGCCAGAAGTGCTTCAATTCTACATCTATCACGGGCTATGACACTTGTTTCTTCAGTAGCAGTACACCAACAACATCCTGCAGCAAGCAACCTATCAACCCAAAGGGCGACCACATAAAACTCATATTAAACTCATTTCAGAATTATGGGGAACCTTTGTCCAACAGAAAGCAAACTTGTGCGAAGACGAGGTTCCTGACTTCTCAGTAGCTTCTCACGGCAGTCGAATGGGCGGGAACCGACCAGGAACTTCTCCAGCGACTTTCAAAGGCCCAGAGCCGGCTGGAGCAGCAGCATGGCTTGGCAACTTGACATGGTCTTTCTGCACTGGAGGTCTCTGAAGATCTGGGAGCACTGTAGCATACTGTAGCCAAAATTTTGACTGGGCCGGGCAACACTTTCGAAGGAGCGGGCTTGACCAGGCCAGCTTGGGGCCAAAAGGTCTGCAAAACCAGATAGGCACAGGCATGTGGGCCCCATTGCCCCACTGCGCCGCAACTCAGCAACTATTTGCATCAAGTGAGGTGCAGAAGCAAAAGGAAGACCTTGAGCAAATGCAGAGGAAGTTCTGAGCCAGAAGACCTGGGGGTGAGGGTCCAACACTGAAATTTTACTACCGAACTCATAGCAAAGAGCCTTTTGAACTGCAATGCACGTTTCTTGGACTCACACCACTTTGGCTGTTGGTCAGATCTGTCATCGTCACTCTCCAAAGTCGCTCCTGGCTGACATTGGTTGAACAGCGTTGGCACGCTGTTCAGGGATGTAGCTGACTGAACACTCAAGAGGTGAGGGGCTTTTAGGAGCAATTATTGGACATCGCATCAACTGCACGTGTCAGCTGGGCTTCTTTGAAGAGATTCACACGATTCACGACAGCTGATGAAATGCCTGCTAAAGCTCAACAGAACCTGTGTCGTTTTTAATTTGTAGATTATGGGATTGTTTGTCGCAGGCCTTTCAAGGCTCCTTAGTTAATGAAGGATATGCTTTGCAGATGCCGGGTTGGGCCTGCGCTTGCATGAGTAAGCTCAAAGACCCACCGGTTGGGGGCTCCCAGCATGTTGAAATACGTCCTCGACAGTGGACTGAAGGATTTCGCGAGAGGCCCGTGTTCAGTGTGGAGCTTTTTTGCGGCCGCGACCCGACAAAGCGGGTCACGAGTTCCTCCTTGGGAGGGACATGGAAAAGCTCCCAGACGTGCAAAGCTGGTCCCACCGGCCTTGTTGGACCGGAGCTCCAGATGGAGCACAGAGCTGTCGAGATGGACGGTGGCACGGTTACATGGTGCACGGTTATAGGTTGAATTCTTGGTGCTTGTAGTCCAGAACAGATTAAAGAGGTGTGGAGGCGGGGTCTCAGGACATCATGCCGGACATTTCTCCAGTTCCAGTTCAGATCAATTTCATTCAATTTCGGATATCATTGGAGATGCACAGTATACTCTGTATATATACATTGTACACATGTTTTTACCTGCCGCCGCAGGTAAATCGTACTTGTGAGTCACCGGGATATTTTTGGTCCATACCTAATGGCCCTGTTGACCTCGGCTCCTCAGTTTGCACGGCCAGTGGTGACGTCGGCTCCGAACCGTCGAGCCAGCTGCGGTGGTTTTCACGACGTGCCGACAGCTGCGACAGCTGCGACAGGGGCCAGGGGAAGAGATGTGCTCTTCAAATCTGGGGCTGCCAACGGGTTAACCTGGTGACTGGGTCATAACAGTCTTCTGGTCATACCACTTTTCCTGACCACGGACATTCTGGGCCACTTTCCGACCAAGCTGCCGCGACTTGTTTTGATTGCTTTCTCAGGAGCCAGTGCAGCCGCTCACTGCCTGCCAAGAAGGCTGGCCATGCATTTTAGACTCACCAACAGCCTTTGAACCACCAAGGATGCCACCAGAATCGTCTGGCTGAACGCGTCAACTCTTTCATTCTTTGCATTTTCTGGTTTTCTTTCCAATCTTGTAGCCTTGTCTTTGAGCCATAGATGGACTTGATCGTGCTCGGCTTGACAAGGTGTTGCCTCAGCAATCAGCAGCGCCTTCTGTGCAGCCAGTGGGCTCTTAGTCAAGCGCTTGACTAGGACGGACAACAAGTCAGTGGCCCGTGCCCCAGCATTGGAGAGCTTTCTGTTTCCCCTTCCGTGATGCCAGCAATGCCATCCCTACCTTCACCTGTCTCTTTGTTTTTGTGTCTCCTTTCTCCCGTGTAACGGGGTCTCCGGCGAAAAGCATTGCAAAACAACATTTCACAGAACATTACATCATATATATATATATATATATCATGTACATCATATACATCATATCATGATCACATTGCATATCATGTCACATAGATATCATATTATATGCCATGCCAAGATCAATGAACGCTGCTGTGATATGACAAGGACATGTCACTGAGATTCACTGAGCAAGTCAAGTCACTAAGTAGTTTCGTTGTTTAATATGCAGCTATGATATGAGAAGCATATCAACATATATCCCAGGATGTCACGGTATGCTTCTATAAATGTTTCTCACTCTCTGGTGGTGTGGGGTGGGCGGATGAGCCTCGGACACGGTGGTCCCCGGTGGAATCGGTCGACGTTCGCCCCGCGCGACTGATCGGGGTGAGACGGCCAATCGCGGGGTTCAGGGCGAATTTGGTTTCTCCGATGTCCTGCAGACACCTTCATTTGTTATATTGCTTCGTTAGATCTCTCATGGTTTTTGTGTCGCTGCCTTTCGTTTCTTTCCTTTTCCTAGCCTTTCCTTTGACACCGTTTCATTTGTTTGTGTTTTTTGCATTCTTCTCCCAGCTTATTGCATGTTTTCCTCATTCTTAAGATTGGTATAAAAGCTATAATACAGTATTCTGTTGATTGGAAAATACTGTCCTGTACATTCTTGAGCTTGGGAAGCTTTATTGACTGACAACGAGCAGTTCCTCTTGACTTTATTAATAGCCAGAAATCGCCAGCAATTTAGTTTCTTAGAACCTGGTGGTTTTTCTTGGACAAGAAGAGGGCTGGCGTCTCAGAGAACTGTCCAGAGCCATTGAGTTGACCTCGCGCCCCAATCATTGCAAGTTGCTTCTAATACTGTGCCATGTGCCAATGAATCTGGCCGGCCTTGCGTGAAATGCAACCGTCTAGCACACATGTGCACAGTTGGAACGGGTGGATCCTGTTGTACTAGTTGCAATGGTTGTCCTACAGACGCTGGTATGGTGGTTGTTGTGCGCCAATGCAGTCGCCCCATGGATTCAGCGCATTCAGCGGATTTGGGGGCTTTCGGCACGATGCGCCCAGCACAGTGCAGTGTTCACAACTTCGATTCAAGCGGTCTTGCGGCTGCTGCTTCTGCTGCTTTTGCTGCTGCTGCTGCGGTGCCTCTGGGTGGTTAGGTTAAGTCGTGTTGGCTCGTAAAAGTCGTCGCTCTGCAGTGTGCTCATGCGGCTCAGCGTATTGGAGGTTCAGTCGCTTCAATGGAGTGTTTACAAATTTTGTTGGTGTGCCATGGTATGTTTTCGGCCTAAGAGACTGATTTGTTGAGGCTGTTTCCGTCAGCATGTCTTGAGTGTCTCTTGGAGAAAAAACGACGGCACAGAAGGGACACGTAGTTCGGTTGTTGCACTACTGCTCTCTTCTACTCTCTTGGCGTGTTGCTTGGGACTCGTGATTGGGCGCATGAAATACTACAGGGCTGTTTTTCTGAGTGCTTTTGGCCCAGCGGCAGCTTTCTCGTCAGACATGAGAGGAGCCACAGCCCACACCCGGGTCCAGATGCCCCAACACTGTCGAATGATATTGCGTTTTTGGGGTGTTGCGCATGGTCACATTGCACGATACGTGCGGGTGAGAATATTAACTGGAGGCCCCCTCGACTCACGAATCGGGGTTGAGCCGCTGTTTTTCATTTGGGGTCAAGCATTTTCAAAAAGAACACGCTTAATACATTACAATACGTGTGAAGGTCGACACAGGTTCCATGTTGATCGTCGATGCATGTTGACACGTATACAGTAGTTCTGAGTAAACAGTGAAAACAGTGAAAAGGAAGGTCCATCGTCGACTCATGTGGGCAATTCATTCTTATGCGCGACCCCTTTAGTTATGACGTAAAACGCTTGAGCACATTGGAGAATGCAAGATTGTTGGAAAAAACACTTGTGTCCTTTGTGCTGATCAAGCCACAGGCCTTTTGAATACAACTAAAGAATATATAACCTCAACAGTATTGTATCCTGGCCTTCGAACCCGCCAGAATGATACTAAGTAAGGGTTCCGTGCTTTGTCATTCTCATCATTTTATGAGCGGTCATGTTGGCCGTTTCGTTCAAACTAAGGCGCAACAACTCTGCCTTGCCAGCATGGCAGATGTACTGGTCCCAGCCTCAAGCATGGTGAACACATTGGCTGGCTGGATGCTTTGGCCTCGCTGGTGGTCGTGGTTTACTGGTCGATTTTGGAAGGAGCTTTGCACCGTGGTGGGGCCTAAGTCCATGCATTGGGATGGTTCCAAGTGACCGAACCCTCGGGAAAAAACTGGGCCTCCAGCGGAAGTCCTACACGGCTCTCAAGGTGAGATGGTTGGGATTAACACAGTGATTCCCTTCGGTTTTTAGCGAACTTGCCCTTCAGCAGAGGTGTATTTTTTTGGGGGTCTCATTTTCCAAATGCGCTCATGGGCTCATATGTATTTCGTGGAATGGTGTGAGAAAGAGTTGCGTCCACCGAACTGAGGATGTGGCCGTTGCTGCAGCAACTGTTGTTGGAAAGCTGGGGCCCAGGTGATCACATACACAAGGGAGATCAAGGGAGGGCGTTTAAGAACAACGGGAGAGTTGTGCATAGATCATAGAACACCAATCTCTGCGTGTATTTATTCGTGCTTGAGCAGAACCAGGCCAAAAAGACAGAACATGGGCATCTCCAACACTCCTTGGCATTGTTCTTTCAAGAATACTTTCTTTTGAGGTAAAATCGTTGCCATGTTTCTTTTGGGGAGTGTGCTCCAGTGCCAGGAGGCTTCGACCTTCTACGAACGTCGTGTTCTTTTTTTCCCGTTTCGCGGCTCCAGTGGAGGCCTGAAGGAGTGGACGGCCCGATGCTGCCAGCGAGGTGGGTCATCCGTGCGGAAACATGATTTGCGGTGAACCAAACAAGTCCATTAAGCGAGCTTTGGTGCTAGGTGGGCCATGGTGGTATGCCGGATTATGCCGGTACACCCGGTTTTTGTACTAGGTTGGTTGGTTGATCCTGAAAGGACTCACCTCACGTTGAACAAACACACAACGCGCCGAGAAAGTAGTGGATCTTGCTATCATCATGTTGAAAACCGGTGCTGAGCCAGACCATCCTCTACCGGCCCTATCAACCACCAATAGAAGCATAGAAGAAAACACAAGAGCACGTGGACCAGGGGTTCAGTTCTAGACACCATAGTATGCACTTTGCTCTGATTGTAATACGCGACAAATATAAACAAATGCACACACGGAACTGAACACCACCCATCGTCAAACGGTAAGCCAAGGCACTAAGAACCTCGGGAGTTTTTTGTTCATTGTGTGCTGGCTTGCATTCTTGGATCCACATGCGGGAAGTGTTGCTCAAAACCCAAAGCAGCAGGTGCCAACTTCGCAACATGCTGTGACCGCGATGTCTATAAGGGATGCGCCCTGAAGACATTTAACCTTGGGTGTTCCCTGATTTGTCACCTTGTCTCACCATGAGGCAGCTGCTCATGGCTTTTGGAAGCGACCACGTCCCAAAGGCAGGGAGGTCAACATTTGCATGCAGTGTCAGTGTGCATATTTGGCATGCACCATCCGAATAGTCTAGGTCATCTATGGTCATCTGGACTATTTGCCCTGGTCAGATTGTGACCTCAGTGACCTCCACAGGTGGAGCCGTGTGGAGATGAGGCCGCGCCATGGCCGTTGGGAGGCCCTTGGCCGCGCCCGCGAGAGATCACCGTGTCCGTGAAGATCTGAACGCTTCCGCGCCCCGTGAACTAAATATGTGCAAAAACCTACAAAATGATACATACATGTTCCAGTACAAGCGAGATAGGAACAAACACCTGTGACAAAAACAATCATCCGACATGAACACCTCTTAGACGTCGGGAACCCCGGCACTCCACAACGTCGTCCGGAGACGACCCGTTTCACGGATGGGTGGAACGAGCGGTCGATGGCATGGACTTCAGCGGTGGTCAAACCATGGTCCATCCATCTTGACAGTGATGTCTGCACATTGACCAACAAGACACCGGGAACATCCGGAAACCAACAGAAAAGACAAGAAGTACCGTGTGGTTTACACCCACCGTTGGTGCGTCGTTCTCTTTTGCTTTTGGGGTGTTCATACTTTCAAGATCTTTCAAGCACTTTGGGCTTGCAAGGGATCTGGAAGTCAATCTTCAAACATTCAGACGGTCGCCACATGTCGCCAGGTGTCGCCCGAATCACCATTCAGACACTCACTCCGAAGAGAGAAACTACACGGTTGGACATCACAGTCTTGGAGCTTCTTTGGTTTTGAGTTTTGACCTCCATTGTGCTCCCAGCAGCATTTCCTCAGGCACCTACAACACCACCTCCTTGGCGACTTTGGCTCGGCTACGGTCTTTGGGGGCGCTGGCGCGCCTGGGTGGCACGCTGGGAGGCCGGACCACAGAGACCACAGACCTGCAGACGACGCTGGTGGGTCCGTGAGACTAAAGACAAAAGCGGACGCTTCGAACGGGGCTCCTGGCATCGCTACTAGGAGCCAGGGGCATCGCTACTAGGGGCTCCTGGCCGTACTACTGGGAGCGATCGGACGCTACTAGTAACAAAGGGCATCGCTACTAGGAGCAAGGACGATTGGGTTGATGGTCTGGTGGGTGGCTACAGACGTTTTGGATTTCAATAGTCTTTGGTGTGCATGGGTTCGGGAGGCTTTTCAGGATTCCAAAGCGCCAGCACGAGTCATATTGGAGTTGCGCCAAGCGGGGCACACTTTTGGACCATCCACTCGGTGGTGTGCTGCGAGTTTGGGAGAGCTGATGCATCTAGCCACTAGTTTAGTTTGGACTGATAGTATGATACTGATATTGTTCGACTTCCGATCCCTTGGTGAACTTGGCTATGACACCCCTGCATCAAGACCCTGTTTTGAGCAGGGGTTTGGGTTTGGGCTGCTGGCTTTTGCAGACAGAGTTTATGATGACTGGCAGTTTTTGAGGCAGGTCATTGGCGCCTACCATTTAGTTCCTAACATTTTGAACTCTGGGGGAGGAAGCCTGCACTAGTGCCAAAAGCCTAGCAAGGCCAGCTAGGCAGCTGGTGATGTTCGGAACTCGTTCGATGAGGATAGGCGTTCTCCGGCCACCGGCGTGTGCCAAGTGGCGTTCTCCAGGTGGTGTGGAGTGGCTTGAAGCGTTACGCCAGAGAACCTTGGAGGTGACCGGCGGGTGGGTGGTTACACCGGTCGAAACGCAGCAGATCCGACACGCTGTGGGGCCAGAGGGCCAGGGTGAATGCAACCATCCTTTGTCATCCGCCAGGCCCCGGCTTGAGACTTGTTTTCATAGAGGCCGTGTTTCATTGAGGATCGTGATTGTGGTAGATGATTATTGCCAAAACCGACATTGGTAGAAATGCAGTTGCCCAAAGTGCTAAACTGCGAGTCGGACACCACACACCACTTGGATTATTTTTCATGTGCGCCGATTGTTCTCATCATGGACTGGATGTGGCGATTCACTATCCAGCCAGGGTTTGTCACGGTGTGTCTCAGTATCAATGTATTTAAAGACTCGTTAGATCAATCAACTTTCTAAAGACAGGGTTGGCCCAGCTGCCACTCTGAATCGGTGCACAGGGCACGGACAGTGTCCGGGGCATCTCCCAGACCACGTGTTTTGGGTCTCCCATAGTGTTGAGACACCCAGCTGACGGGCCAGGTGCTCCAGAGTGTGGCCCCCAAGCTGCCAATCCCCGCAGATACCGAGGCCAGGAGATTCGCGACTCAGAGGTTGCTCAGACAGAAGCCATGAAGTCCATGATACTTCCAAGCAAGGGGGGCACTACCCATTGATGTGTATTTACGGTCAGTTGCATCCAGTTTATGCCACTTTATGCAATTATTTCATGATGTTTCATGCAATTTTTCAAGTAAAGTTTTTCCTGGCATGGGTGCGATGGCAATGGATTGCTTGGTCATCTCCCAGCAACTCATATTCTTCTTCAGAGGCCTTGTGCTCCAGCCCCTAGCGCCAGTTGCCGTGTCTTTGAAATCGACATAGAAGCCTTGGCAGAGTTGAGGCGCTCGTCGGGGATGTGACCCGAGATCCCCTGAGCGCTTTGCTAGTCGACCTTTGCCTGGGAGCCCAGTCAACACGGGCCCCCGTGACGAGGATCTGAGGAGGATCTGAGGGAATCAGACGGAAAGCTAGATACTGTAGATACCCCATGCGCTGATAGGTCCGTTGTGACTTTATGAATGGGATGTTCCCTTCCGATCCTTTGCACATGTCCGACTGCTAGGTCCTTGCTTGCGCAGTCCTTGTCGTGTTTGGTTCAAGTGTGCTCGATTCTTGTTGAGCCCTGCTGTATTGCAAGCAGCGCCCATCGATAGTTGGCCCACTGGCCGCTGGCCAGCCGTGGTGTGTGGCGCCTTTTTCTGACACTTTCTGACATATGTGTTTGGGGAACATTGTCGTCGATTTAACACGATCGTCTTCGGATGTCTTCGGTTTCACAACATTGTCATCGATGTACGGATGTTATCATCGAGTAGTCAAGTGACAGAAATGGGGTGGGGGGCTGGGTGGTGCTGGAATGATGACTTGGATGTCATGTGGAACATTCTCATCCATCTCATAAGATATGTAATATTCGGTCACGGTCTCGCAAATTTCCAGTGTGAAGGTCGAAGGATGTCGAAGGTCACAGAGTGCCTTACTGACCCAGCCTTGACTGACATCATCTTTCAATATTTTTCCGGCAGTCTGCGGCACCTGCAACCCCAAACGATTTGTAATCACACACTCAGCTTTGATGATGTTGCGGAAAGCACACGAACAAGAGCAGCTGCTTTGGCAACTGTGCTTTTCACACCTGCTGCAAACCTCCATCCGACTCCATCCCTGTGGTCTTGACCCCGAAAGCACCGTTGATGACATTGACATAACTTTTTGAGGTGTGAATTGCACTGGGAAGTGCGCATGACAAACCTTTCCCAATCCATTGAGGTTGTTCAACACGTGCAATCAGTGAGCAAATCTTCCCCAATGGAATTACGTATAGACAAGCAACTTTGCAGATGAGAAGTCCATTTCATACCACGGCCTGATGTGGGCGGACCCAGGGACCTAGCGATGTGGTCGGACCTTTTTAACCCCTGATGAAGGCGATGCTCAGCGCTAGCCTTCTCCAGGTATCGCGTGCCGAGAGCCGTTTGAGACGGATGAGCTGGGGCAAGCCCTGGTCCGGAGACCTAGCAAGGGCCGCGGACCACCCAGATGCCCACGAGCAGTAGTAGGTCACCTGACGGGTGGTTTGCTTTCGTTTGGTGGGCTCGGCTCGGCATATGAGACTCGCTGACAACCCAACATAACTCGTCCGACTCCCTTAAGAGATAGCAGGGGCATTGGAACACAAAGGGGGGCACAGCACAAAAATATTTGCCCCTCCGCTCAGAGAGCAAAAAATCATAGAAACAACACCTAGGTCAGCAACCAGTGGAAGGTCGCTTTTCCCAAATTGCTGAGAGCTGTGCAATAAGTAGAGCTCTGCTGACTGATGTTTGATTCTATTTCAAGACCTGGGGGAATGTGGGGGAGTTTTTATGAGTGAGTATTTGTTTAACCAACCATCAACCAACCTATTTTTGTTCCTATTGTTTCCCCTATGTTTCCAATGTTTTTTTTTCTCAACCGTTTTTCTGAGTTTCTTCTCCCCTACAATCCCCTACATGTATTGTTTCAAGATTTCCTAGACTTTCCATTCACTTGTCGTTATAATAATATAATGCCACTTAGCATTATGTGAAGCACAGGAGCCGGCATGTGTGTAGATTCACTGGAAAAGCCACCTGGAGAAGCTGGAGCTCTTCGCTTGGGCTATTGATTGTAGGAGGGTAGCTGTCAGGCTCTGAATGTTGCACGATCCAACTCGAACAGGCTTTGTGCGGTTCTTGGCCAACTGCCCACGCTTTGTTCAGCGCAACGCTCAGCTGGTTTGCGTTGCAGAATCTAGGCCAGACGGCTGTAGGAATGTGATGCAGCTACGAAGAAGCATACAGTAATACACAGATATTTTTATGTATATATATATATAGACATACATGTTAAAGAACATGGTCGTTCATGGTCTAGACTCGAGTAGGAGTGAGAGCATCCGATCATATCAGTTCGTGTTCGTGTGCTCTTTTGAAGTCCGAGGGCATGGCGGACTGGATTTCGAAGAGGCGGAAGAAGCTGTGGTGCGCCCACCGGAGCCAGGCCAAGCAGCGATTGCGAGGAGATAATTGGTTTTTTAAGGCTAGGAGTTGCAAGCGTTGCATGTGTCATGGCTTTTGATTTTCTGGTTTTCCCTTTGTTGGGACTTTGTTGCTTGTAGGGCTCCGGGAGTGCAAGCTAGGCTGCCGCCCTTATCATGAAAAATGAAGAGCCACATTAGACGAAAGATGTGTGATACAGCCTAGCCTTTTTGGGATCTCCCCCATCTTACTGTTAGGAGCCTGGGCCTAGGGCCTAGGACGTAGAAGATATTTGATATTTCAAGCAAATTGAACTTCAAGGAAAATGTCAACATGAAGCCTTTGGGTGGAGGACCACAAAGCAGCCGAGGTTTATTTGAACCAGGCGCACTGACCAGAGACTCTGCGTGTGATCTCTGTTTCCCACCTGCAAGGCTCCCAAGACAGAAAAGTAGCAAGGGAAATGACAAATGAAGAGGTTAGGCACTTGCCATTGCTAGCCTAAAAAGCCCTTGTGCTAAAACACACCACCATGGATGAGCATCATTCAACAAACATGGACCATGTTCTGCCAACAAGAACGGCACAAGAGGATGAAACAGAGAACCTTCTTGGAAGCTCACTTCTTCAGCTGCATGATGGTCGTTAATGTAACTCAGATCCTCGGGGCTCGGCTACAGTTTGTAGAACTCTGAATGACCATGCCACTACCTACCCCAAACATATCGTTGACTTGCTTCGATGTCGTTGCATCTGCAAACGTTGAGCGATGCGCGATTGGTCGAACGAGTTCAAGAGCTCCGATCCTTGGCTACATGGAAAACTAGGGAGGCTTGCAGGAGAAGCTGTGTGAAGATAACATAGGAGACTTGGCAACGTTGCTCAACCCAGGACTATTCAGGACCCGGGCTCGAATTTGATTATCTACTGTAGGTCTAGGTTATTGTTGTTCCAAGGTCGAGCTGCATATGGCATATGGGATCATATGGGCTTGCCTTTGCAGGTGAACGTTTCTGGTGACAAGATTAGATAGTCCGAGAAGTGTTTCCACTCAACTGAGGTGACAGGGGGAAAGGGAGCTTCCTCGGGCTGTTTCTCGAATGTTCATTCTTGTGATTCTTGGTTCTGTTGCTCAACTTCTTTCCCTTGCTGATCTTACTGTTGCTTTCTCTCGGGCACGCTCACAGGGCAACATTAGGAATAGTATTCCCTGATCTTCGCCCAGCTTTTATGGGCAAGGTGGACACTTGTTCGCAGCGATTCCGAGCTGCTGGGCGATTTCGAGGTATGTGTTTTCCCTTATATAGTGCCACCTGCTGTACCCGTAGGGGTTGGAAGCCTGGTGCCACCTACGGGCACTTATTGCGGTGTTCTGAGGTTTGAAGGGCGAGATCAGACAGCCGAAGGACCAGCAGCTGGTCACCAGCGCCGGGAGCGAAAGTGGTATGTTTCTCAGCAACATTCTTTAAGTACCTGCGGGTGACTCTCGATGTGTCCGGTGATTAGCCAGTAGTAGCAGCTTCAGCACAGTGCCACTGTGGACCCCCCCCAGTCCAAAACATGCCACGAGCTCCGGTTGACACCAGGAGTATGCGGAGGTCGTGGGAGTCTTGGCCGAGCGCGCGCTTTGGCGACAAAGCTGCGCCCTTCTCCTGGAGATGCGCTTTAGATCCATGAGCCTTGGCTTCCCAAAGCGGATCAGTTCTTTGGGGGCAAGCTCATTGGCGTTGTGCTGTTTTTTTTTTGTGGTAAGGATAGGATGACTAATATACCACCAGTTCAGATGGTTATGTTGAAGGGGGTTGCTGGATGCAGAGATTTGAGAGTTGCACATTCCAAGGACCCCTTTCCCGTCCACTTTTGCATCAGCAGCTGTGGCTTGTTACAAGGCTGCCCAAAACCAGGACTGCAAAGGGCTGTGGCGACAGGGGACTGAGAGCTCATCCAACTTTATTATATATATATATGGTTGTCGATCTAAAGGTCCTAGTCAGCAGTGTGTATGACGATGACCCGGAACATATCAAAATCTCATTTGGCGAAAGTTTTTTCTCGAGTTGGCGAAAGTAATTTTTTTTTTGGCGAAAGATCTGGCGAAAGATTAAATATGTACTTTTGTATGAATGTTCATTTGCTTTCTGAACAGCTGGTGGCAGTGACTCAGAAGCTAGATAAGCTGTGGAAGTTAGATAACCTGCTGCTGCTGCGGCTGCTACTACTACTACTACTACGACTACGACTACGACTACCACTACCACTACCACTACCACCACCACGACCACGACCACGACCACGACCACTACCACGACCGCTACCGCTACCGCTACCGCTACCCCTACCCCTACTACTACTACTATTCCTGCTCCTGCTTTGGGGGGTGGCTTTGCCACAAAACTCTACCCCGCAAAAGGCGAAAGTTTGGCGAAAGTTCAGCTCAAGATTGGCGAAAGTTCACCCTGCCACATCTGACCCCCAGCCCATTATGAGTAAGTTTGAGTGACCGGCTACTACAGTGATTCTTGCAATTTTGATTCTTGCTGACACCCAGGAGAAACAAAAGAGACGTACTGGGTGTCAACAGTTAAGTAGAAGACACATGCTGACAAACAGTGAAGTTTCTATTTTGTGTTTGCCAGTGAAGCCATTGACGTGAACAAAACACAACATACATGGCACACATAAATACAACGTACTTCGGCGAAAGATAAAACGCAGGAAGGCGAAAGTTTGGCGAAAGTTTTTTTTTGGCGAAAATGACGGATCCCGGATAAAGGAATTTAGATCAACTCCCATATATATATTCGACCTTTTTCAGCCAGTCTCACTATTCGCCGTCAGAGTGCTACCCCTACTTATTCTATCTTATTCTGAGAAGAGGTTCAATGTGCCTGGAGAATGATAAAGGCTTGGTAAAATGAACACCTCCTCAGGTGGCAAGCAGAATGCTCACAGTTGCCAGCGGCGATGAAACTGCCCCCCTCAGCAGTGTGGATGCAACATAGGAGGTTTTGCTTTTTAGGGTGGTCGGGGGCATCATTTCAATGAAGGCATCAGGCTGCCGACCCCAAACACTGGTCAGGAGGCAGCCGTGATCATGGATAAATTGTGGTCTGCTTCTGGAAGAAGGCGCTGAACAAATTTTTGCGCATCTGAGTCTTGTGTGAATTCTTGTTTCTACTAGCTTTTTGTTCCTAGTAGTAAGGCCCTTGCTCCTAGTAGCGATCCCTTTGCTCCTTGTGGCGTCCCACTGTGGCTGCCAGATTTGTTTTTGGCACTGCTTAGTTGGGAGGATCGATGTGATGGACTGTGGCAATGTCGTGGTGCGCTTTGCGTGCCTCGATGGCAATGGCTTTGGTGCAATTTGGGCAGACGAGCGGCCCCGCGACATCCATGGTCACGTCACGGCCGGAGGTTTCAGCGACCAGTTCGCTGTTGGAACGGCTAGCAGCAGCTAGAGAAAATAATCAGTTGGACTGGGGACTCAACACCGGCAAAGATCTCATCATTTGGAAGGCACGTGGAGCTGACATGAGCTGACCATATTCATCCCCTTCACCAACAGTCGGTGCAACCTTGTACTCATTCTTCTTCATGCACTGGAATCATTGGAATACAGCGGGGTTCATCCAAACGAGCTATCTCAGGAATGCTGGACTTTGGCAAGGAGCCCTAACCTTTTTGGAGGAGATGCAAGATCACCGTGTCCTTCCCGATGCCTACGCCTACAACAACGCTGCTCAGAATAACTCTTAGGGTTGCAAGAAAGGAGCCGTTCAACCTCCATCAAGATCAGCGCATTCCTTTGGTCTCCCACCTGGTCCAACAAACAGAGAGAGGGGGCCCATGGAATTCCCTTGCCCAGGACCCGGCAGTTGTTTTTTGGGGAGGTTTGGAGGTTTGCCCGGGCAGAGGAGCATGGAACCAAAAAGGGACCAAAATACGGAGACGCATGGAATTATCATGGAGAGCGTCTGCCCTGGTTTCACTGGAAGAAACCGTCAGGTCATGGTCGCGAGCCGGCGGAAAAACGACTTCTCTGTGGCACCACTGCTCCTTCGGAGCATGCAGGAGAAGGAGGTGCAGATGGGAGGGGTTCAGCCTGGCCATTATACTATGATATAATATGATTCTAATAGCTTCTTGTTACTACTAGTAAGGCACTTGTTACTAGCAGCGATGCACTTGTTCCTAGTAGCTTCTTGTAACACATTTGGCACCCACCCCTGAAAAGTGATCCGAACGGCGCTTTTGAAACATCCCATCCGCTGGCAGGTCCAGGCGGATGCTTGGTCTTACAGCCAGGCGATGGATGCCAGCAACGCCGTGGGAAGTTGGGAAGCCTCCCTGGAGCGGCTTGGCGTGAAGCGAGCAGAGCGAGCTGTATCAAGCTCATCATGTATTTGTATGTACGTTTGCTCGGCCATCAACTCCAAAGTGTGCTTCCATCTTGATGAAACCTGGGTCCGCCTTTTGTCCGGATCCTGGAATCCTTGGTCCGTGATCTTTTCGCCAAGGTACCTGCGGCAGCTTCAGGTCGGGGCACCGGAGTGGCTTCTTGTGAGCTGCGTTCACCCACCGGTGGCCGGCGTTCGACACCTGTTCAGCCGAACCAGGGCTCCGCCGTGGGCTCCGCCAGGCGGCTGAAGTGGAGCCCAATTCGGTGATCCTCACCACGGCCATCACGGCATGTCAGCTTGGGGACGTCTCGCAGCTCAGATCATGATGAGGGGGATATGAAGGGATGGCTTGGGGGATGGTGCAGTTTCGCGGGGGGTTAGAACGGTTAGGTAGGTGAACATGCAAGACATGGCAAGGAACTTTGGGAATTTTGCTGTGATACCATTCACTCTTGACTGCCGGGACTTAAGCCTGAGCACGGCATCCGTTTTTTTCAAAAGGGATTTTGCTTTTTGCCTACGTGCATGATTCCTTACAGCATGTGCTTTTCTTTTTTCCATGCTGGCCGCATGCTTCCATGCCAAACTATATATTCGACTCGACATGGGAGGAGACAAGTGAGACTTGCCACCACACCAGGGGTCTTGGACGGCTGGAGCCTGCTCACCTATCATCGCTCATCCCCAAGGCCCAAGAAGGCAGTGCAGCTGCTGCGGGAAGCACAGGCGTCCGGCAACTGCGACGTGCAGGCCTATACTGCTGCCATCAATGCATGTGGCAAAGCGGGTGCTTGGCATGCAATCAATCTTAGGGGTGAGCCTGCTGATGGAAGAGCTCTTACGCTCCTTCAACAGTAGGTTTGGTAGGTGTTGACCAAGGTGAAAATCATGTTCGTTTGGAGATAGAACCCCCTGAGATACCGAAGGACTTCGGATGGACCCCATTATCCCCATTTAACGCCAAAGAGCTGCAGTGGGCTTGCCACCTTGTAGTGATCAAGTGGAACATGCAACATCTGTATGTGTGTATATATATATATATGTGTGCATATGCAACTACTGTACACGACTAATCATCACTGTACATCATAATAAAGTATAGTGTTTCTGCACTCTCCTTCCCCTCCTTGCAGGCCAGTGGCCCAGATTTCCAAGGTCTCTGGAGCTGGGCATTGTCACTCTTGGAGGAGCCGTCGACGGGAGTCCCGTGATGGTCCCGCGGGCAATGGTGGGCAACATGGCAACATGTGACCAGTAGCTGAAGGTGGTGAAGAAGGCTCATCCGAATCATCACTCATCACACAAGACCTCCTGAAAAGTCATGACGCGAGGCATTTGGCAAGCTATTTGCTTCGATTGACGGGCGGAAAGCCGAAGGGCAATCACTACTGAGTCACCATGTCCGACAATGTCTGAAGTTGGGTGAATCTTGGTCACTTTGAATGTCAGGAAATGCCTGAGGCTGCTTGTCAGCCCAATCTCTTCACCTACAATGCAGCTATCGGTGCATGCCAGGCTTGCCCATTCTCAATCCCAGTCTTGAGCAGACGTAGTCCTCCTCAATACCAGCACGGACTGGGATCAAAGCCGAGTCATTTGTTCAACATGCGGGGCATATCATATCTATGATGATTTATATAGGCATGTAAAATGCATTTTCGTATTTGTGGTTGAACATTTTGCATGGCAGAGATGTGTACACACAATCACTGTATCTATTGGGGCCCGACTGTGACGGAAACATGGCAGGTGGCGCAGGAATGGGAGATGGCACTGGCAGTCTTCTCCTCAATGCGCCGTAAGGGAACACGTCCCGACACCTCCAGCTACAATCTGTGACTTGGCACATCTCGCTGGATTTCTGAGACCCCTTCGTGGTGAGTTCTCAACCATTCCGGGCCTGCTCCGGATGTCCCATATTGTGATAGCATATGCACGAAATTTGGTAACTATCATTTGGCCATTCCTGTTCTTGCCTCGCTCATCTCCACTCATTGCCAGTCTTGCGATGGCCACACCCAGCCCGTCTTGCTCCAAGAAACTGCCGGGTGATATATATATATATATACACTTTGCTTTTCAAGCCCGGCAAGATGCTTGACCATTTTGCCTCTGAGATCCTCTTGAGCATCTCCCACCATGCTTTGCTTCTGTTTCTTCCCATGCCTTGCCTGTGATTTGAACTGGTTCGACATTGCCCCAAACGAAATTGTGCGCTTGCTTCCGCACCCCCTTGTTAGGGTAGAGTGGTAGGGCCCACGACTAGGCCACTTTTGTTTTTCAGTAAATTTTCACATCAGAACATATTGCTTTCTGCTCTTCAATGGCTTTTGTGGACGCCGCGGCCGGAGTCTTAGGCTGTTGAGCAGCTGCGCACGCTGCCGTGAGCAAGCGCAGGTAGAGCGGCTGGTTCAGCGGATGTACAAGCAGAGGCACCGCCGCAGCTGGTTGGACACCTGGGGCAGTCCCACTGTTATTCAGATACACTCCTTGGCATTATAATGGGAGTGGGAGATGGGCTCTTGGATGACCATTTTCCTCTACAAACCGGTGGATTTCCACTTCCGTGGTGATTCCAGCGAGTGTAAGCATCATGCTGATTGCGCCAGCTTCGACGGTCGTGCCTTAGAGAGGCAGATCGATGGAAAACCTTTCGCCCAGATAGCGAGAGCTATGCTGGGTTCTCACTAACGCGTAGGAAGAGGTGCCTGAGTACGCTTTGGAGCCTGGGTGCTGGTGCTGCTGCAGGGTGCCGTGCTGGCCATGTGCACTTTGGAGCCTGGGTGCCGCAGGTGCTGTTGTCTTAATGCACAGTGCATGTCTCCAACGTGTTCCATCAAGCCTCTCATCCGCACTCGATTCGGGTGGTGTTTGTGGCTATCTGGGGCCTATGCTGTCGCAATTCTATCTCCGCAAGAAGTGGTGAACGTGATTGACTGTGGTGTGAAGCAGCACTACCTTGAGGCTGTGTATCTAAAGTGTATATATTGTTCGGGATCTGTGAATAAACCATGAAAATGCGACCTGCTACATTTTCTTCATATATAATTAGATATCATTAGTTATATATATGTATATCATAGGTAGATTCGGGGCACCGCTATTGAACTCGTGGAGTGGGCAAATATGTAACTTGACAGCTGCAGAGAAGATGGCTTGCGGGAACTAGAGTCAGAAAATTTGCTGGACTTCTTTCATCTTCTTTCTTCCTTTTGCCATGGGGTAGAGGACGCTACTAGAAACAAAGGACGCTACTAGGGGCTCCTGGCCTTACTACTAGGAGCAAGGACGCTTTTCCATTTGATGCGCTGGCCATCGGCATCCAGGACTCTTGTTGCATGCGTTCTCATTGCTTTTCGCACACGCACTGAGTTCCATAGGTCCAACAAACAGTCCGACTCCATGCCTTTCCCATCCGATGGGCACCCAGTTATTCCCCATCCACGGCTGGCCAGGCTTGCGCCTGATGAGGTGACCTTCAACTGCCTCTCATCGCTGATCATGGACCGATGCTGGACACAGATTGGCCAAATGGCCTCGGAGCCGGGCAGGGGGTGTGCACCAGTTGGACCGTTGCACCGGTTGAACTACACTTCAGGGGTGACACTTCGTCCAAGATGAACTTGAGCAGTTGCGGATTGATGCAAACCAGTGGTAAGGTTGGGTAGATGCTGATAATTACTTGTTTCTTCAGTGGGGGGACAAGTCATCGAGGCCAGAAATGCGTACATGTGCCGACTCTACTCTACTAAACATTTTAGTCATGAGCGGACACTGAGAGGTGGATCTGGACAATGTGAGAAGTCAAGAGCGACGCCCTTTGCCTTCGAAACATGTTGTATAGTACCATACATGTTGAAAATCATCCACTGGAAGGCCCTGTTGTCCTCCGCCCGGAGCGTGCTGAGGACGAGATCGCGAAAATTTCTTGGAGGAACTGAAGGCCAATGGATTGCGACCGGGTGTGCGGACCTACAACCCGATGATCAGCGCATGCGCTGAGAGTCAAGGTTGGGAAGAGGCGTTGACCATCCTGGCAGACATGGCGGCGAACGAGGTGGCGCCTGACATCAAGAGCCCATTGGCGGTGAATTTGCCCGCTTTATTTGGGATGGAGGCCGTCGCTATTAGGTTGGAGGCCATCTCAAGTAGGTTGGAGGCCATCGCTTGTAGGTTGGGGCGCAGATGCTTTCTCGATATAGGCTATATAGATGCTAATCGGCTTGCTTCAGCACCAACGATGCCGAGAGTCGTTTTATTGAAGGTGGATCCACATGTTTTGTCCTGTTTCTCAAAGTTGTTTGCTTTCAACAGTGGCGGCAGCAGCATGGCTCCCAATCTGATTGTTTCCTGAGATAGCTTCCCGAAGGCCAGTCCAATAAAAGCACAAGTCTTGCACATTATATGTAATATATCACATGGTCACATGATTAATGAAACAACAACTCCTCCAATACATAGACACATCCAGTCAATATCGTTTGAGTCTCACCCATTTTCTCGCTTTCGACATCGTTGTGGCCTAGCGAGGCCACAATCGGCTCTTGGACGTTTGCGCTTCGACGGCCTCCTGGGTCGTTGTGCTCAATGTGTTCGAGGCGCTCAGGTCTGCGTTGCCACCCAACGCGGCCACTGTGAGGCTCAGCAGCAGGGGCAGTGCGGCCTGGGAGAGATGAGACACAGGGGCCGGGGGTGTGGGCAAGAAATGGCAAGAAAGATGTGAAGTGGAAGGAACATGGAAGCACATCCAAGTGCAAAAAATAGGATAGACTTTGGACTCTCAAATAGGTTTTCTGGAAGGGCACGTCTGATTGATCAAAAGAGTTTAAGTTAGTTTACATTGAAGGGTGGAGCGACTTTTGTGCAGCGCACGAGCCTCAGATTGTTTAATCTACTTCGATCGTGGGCACCCAGGGATGTTTAAACTCTAAACTTTGGCACTTGGCGTCCATTTCGCGGCACCCTTCCGACTATTATTGCAAACATGTTGCACACACACACATAATCACGTATATATATATATATACACACTTAGATAGATATGTATATATTTGTATATACACTTAGAGTTAGAGTGTGTGTGGGTGTGTTTGAGCTGAGTCTATTCTCAGCTGCGTTGCAGCTTGATCCAGGATGGGGGATGGGGGCTGTACCCCCAAACATGCAGCTCGGCTTGAGCCGGGCCCACCCAATGCCACCGGCCTCATCGGTTCCCACCTGTGCTCTGGATTTCTCTGATTTTTGCAAGTCTATTTGCAGTACTATACATATATATATATAGGTGGTGTTAGCATGCGGATGTTGCAATCGCTCCATCGGCTGTTTTGATCGACGGCGTTGCCAACTTTCACTTGTCTCCGTTACAGGTATTTCTTTTGTGGCAGCCATTTTTGCGGCTAGTTTATCTTTGGGTCCTGCTTCGTTTAGAGTATGTAGTTTTGTTGCAAGACGCTTGCCACGTGGACCCCAAGTGCTCAGCATAGGGGCCCTCCCGCGGGTGATTTCGGTCGCCCAGCACCAGCCCTGCCTATATAGAAAACATGTCATGCGCGTTTTTCCGAGGAACACCTGCTTGGGGGCCTGTGCTTCAGCCAACCGCTGGTTGGAAGCGATTGGCCTTCTAGAGCTGATGGAGACCGAGGGCCCTTCGCCCGATGTGATCTCTTATAACACCGACGCTCGGACGGTGTGTGGGCTCAGCTCCACCAGAAGGGTGAGCTCTCTCTCTATCTCTTTCTTTTTTCTCTCTCTCTGCCTGCCTGCCTGCCTGGCTGGCTGGCTGGCTGCCTGCCTGGCTGGCTGGCTGGCTGTCTGGCTGTCTGTCTGTCTGTCTCTGTCTGTCTGTCTCTGTCTGTCTCTGTCTCTGTCTCTGTCTCTGTCTCTGTCTCTGTCTGTGTCTCTGTCTCTGTCTCTGTCTGTTTTTCTGTGTCTGTCTGTGTCTGTCTGTGTCTGTCTGTGTCTGTCTGTGTCTGTCTGTGTCTGTCTGTGTCTGTCTGTGTCTGTCTGTGTGTGTGTCTGTCTGTGTGTCTGTCTGTCTGTCTGTCTCTGTCTGTCTGTCTCTGTCTGTCTGTCTCTGT